ACCAGAGATTGAAACCCAGGGGCTTGCACACGATAGGCAAGTACCCTACTACTATGCTACATCTCCAGCCTTATATTTTGAGAGAGGATGTCACTATGTTGCCCAGGTTGCCTCTAAATTGCAATATTCCTGCCTCAATGGCAGAATGCCTGCTAAGCATGCCATAAAGCCCTGGGTTTGATCTCCGACACCACAGGGAAAAGATTTTTTAAAAGGTAATGTTAGGGGCTGGGGCTGGGGCTGTAGCTCAGTGGTAAAGCACTTGCCTCACACATATGAGGTACTGGGTTCAATCCTCAGCACCACATAAAAATAAATACATAAAGTAAAGGTATTATGTCCAACTACAACTACAAAAAATAAAAAATTTAAAAATACTCAAGTGCTTACTAGTCCAGGATTCAAATCAAATGAATCAGGCCAACCATAGAAACACTAAAAGCATTCCGTTGACCAAAGGCCGGATGGATGTGCATTATTCTTGCTAGTTTTCCTCCTGTATTCCTGGAGGATTCTTTAGCACTACTTTTCCTTTTTGCAGTATAGGAAAATGAACCCAGAGCCTCGCACATGTTAAGCAGTTGCTCTGCCACGGAATTACACACCCAGCCCAGCAGGGATCTTTTGTCTTTTTCCTTAATCTTTTTAGTTGTAGATGGACACAATACCTTTTACTTATTTATTTTTATGTGGTGTTAAGGATCAAACCCAGTACCTCACACATGTGAGGCAAGCACTCTGCCACTGAGCCACAATCCTAGCCCCAACAGCAGGGATCTTTTTGAATCTCAGTTCTTGTTGGCTCCCCGCGCCCCCTCCCATCTTTTCACTTTGTTTTTCTTTAGAACATGAGTGGCAGCAGAGCTCCAAATTCTTAGCCTCCTCCACCCCAAACTTTGGATTATTTTTTTGCATTTTTTCTAGTAGTAGAGGCATTTTCTCTCTTCACATCTTCAAGAGGAATAAAATGTAACCTAAAGGCCAGGGTCATAAAATGTGAGCTGATATGAGCACTCCACTCTAAAGGAACTCAACATTCAACATATTAAAACAAGATTTTGGCAGGTTGTTTTTTTTTTTTTTTTTTGGTCATACTGGGGATTGAACTCAAGGGGTGCTTTAACATCCTTTTTTATTTTTTTGTTTTGAGACAGGGGGTTCCTAAATTAATGAGGTTGGCCTCAAAATTTGAGATACTCCTCCTGCTCAGCCTCCTGAGTCACACCTGGCTGGTAGTACCTTTATTATTGACAAAAAATTGAAGCATACCTAGATGGTATATACCTACAGAATCAGTGTGCAGTAGTGCATACCTATAATTCCAGCAATTCAGGAGGCAAAGTATGAGGCTAGCCTCAACAACTTAATGAGACCCTGTCTCAAAATAAAATATAAAATGGACTAGGGATGTAGCTCAGTGGAAGAGTGCTTGCACTAGGCCCTGGGTTCAATCCCTACCCTCACACATAAATTAAACATACTTAAATCTAAACTCATGCATGCTGAAGGTGGATCCTCTTAGAGGAATTGCCTTTACCTCTGGGTTGACATAGTGCTATTTCTATGCAGTAACTCGATGTTCCGTTTTAAGTCTAACATAGAATACTGCATAAGTAATAGGCAAAATGTGTCCTTATTTTAAAATATCACCAACAGGTCACAAAAAGGTTGACCTAAAAGTCAACTTTTTAGGTTTACAGATGTACACATTTTGTGTTTCTGTATACATGTTTTGAGAAGAATGGCAAAAATATACATTAATGTTTAATCTACTTTTTTGTTGTTATTTCCTATATTACCTATCCTGAGCATGTATTACATAAAAAGGAAAAAACTAGATATCTACACTAATATTTTAAAGACATGATGTTTAACACCAAATTTCTCTTTTGCTCTAAAAAGCCCCCAAACATCCTTATTTTCTTAAGTCCACACATATCCATACCTGGACAAATATGATGTTCTTTGTACAACAGTCCAGTTTCTAGATCTTCATATATATGATCCCTTTTATGCTCCCTTTGAATCAGTATTTCATAATTTCTGGAAACCCTTTAAACCCATCATCAATGATTAATCCAATTTTGGGGGCGAGGGGTACTAGGGATTGACCCCGGGGGAAACTTACTACTGAGCAACATCCCCAGTCCTCTTTACATTTTGAGACAGGGTCTCACAGTGCTTAGGGTCTCCCTTAGTTGCTGACGCTGACTTTGAAATCTCAATCCTCCTGCCTCAGCCTCCTGAGATGCTGGGATCATATTGGACCACAGCATCTAGTTCAATCCTATCTTTAATAAGCACCCACAGTGTGTATGATTATTTGATGTGACTGCTCACGGGCTGTTAAGGACATATACCTCTTATTCCCTAAGCATAAAGATTTAACTCGTTTGTGACAAATATTCAAAGATACTTTCTCCAAAAGATCACCAAGCCAAACATTTGGCCATATTTTTATTTACTACATATACTATAAACATATACAATACATGCTACAAAAAAACATTTTTTAAAATTTAACTGTCAAGAAAGTGTATAGTGTTATAATACAATGGCAAATGTTCATATTTTATTTCAAATTGGTTTGCTTATCACCCATTTCAAACCATTAATAGTGATATGTTACTTGTGGAAAATTAAAAATTATCTATTTTCATTATTAACAATAAAGAAGTCCAACAAATTAATAAGAATTAACCATGTCAAACATTAGTATCCAAAAAATGGGCTTTTGCAGAAACAATTATATAAAATATAGCAGCCAATTTCAGTTTATTATGTGACAATGAATATGCACTTGAATGGGGATTCTAGCATGTTTTTTGGAATTTATCTATAAGAAGTCCTTTGAGTTCTTGATATCCAATAACTGCCACACCCAGCCAAATCCAACCCAACACTTTATGTAATGGCTCCAGACAACTTATCATTGAGAAATTCTTATGATTTGGGTAGAGTTGCATATTCCACTAATATTACATGATGAAAAGAGACATTACAAGCCAATATCAAAGGCAAAGGAAAATATAAACATTCAAATCAGTTGTAACAAGGTTCTTCTACAAATATTTTAGATGCCATACTTCCAGGAAAACAAGATTTAATGTGCTTTTGGATTTTACAGTATGAATGATAACTGAAAATTTAACAAAAGTAGTCAGATGGAATTATATTGAGTATGCAAATTTGTTCATTCGACATTATTGAGCACCCACTATGTGCACAGCACTGTGCTAATATTTTAAAAGTTGATTATTAATATCTTCATCAAGCATTACCTTAGTGTGAGGTAAAAATACATTAAATTAGCGTCAACTCATAAGTTTGCCTGTGGTAATGTATGTAACTCCCGTGCCAGCTGGCTTCCCTGGGCCATGTAACAAGCTCCTGCATTACCCTCATTCACTCACACAAACATTGGCACACTGTGTGCCAGGCAATGTGCACTGAAATAACCATGATTTGGTATATATTCAAAGAATGAAGATTTATCATATTAACCTATGTAGAGCAATTAGAAAGGTACACATTATGTTTCTAAAATGAGGTCCAAAGCAAAGTATCAGGTGTTTCTATGTCACACCACACCAGAGACCACCAAGTGCCTTTATCAACTGGGAACTAACTTTAAAAGTTTCATGTTGTAGTCTAAAATAGCTTAGATTATTTTTGGTCTCATAGGTCTATTCTTTGGAGCACCTGACCCCATATAAACCATTCTATTTTTAAAAGGGTTTATAAACTAAACCTGAACATTAAAAAAAAAAAAAAAAGCCATAAAAAAAAAAAATGAAGACAGTACTTCAAGCACTGTTCTGGCCATGTAAAATTAATAATACATAAGTAATTCATGATTGGTTCAAACATCTTTCAAAGCACTAACTCTACCCCCAAACTCATGATTCTAACTTGTCTTTTATACAAGTTGCACAGAACGCTGAGGGCAGAATTTGGCCCTGAAACCTTTCATGGAATATTATAAGTGATTGGTCCTTCTACTCCAAGTAGAATCTGAGAATTCTAGGATACTGGCACTCAGGAGAAATGGCCCTGTTGATACCCATCAGGCAGGAATCTCTTTAGCTGCTGCAGCAGTGTGAATCTAGTATGACCCCTTAGGGGAAGGAAGCTGGGAGTTTGGCTGTCCACTTAGTGAATCCAATACTGGCTTAAAGCTATGCACTGAATAAAGTGCTCTGCACATCCTGCTCCTCATCTGGAATGAAAATATACATTATCTTAAGAATCATCCTACTTATGGGTCTTGGGGAAAAGAATAACAAGGGTTGAAAGAATCCCAAGAAAAAGTATGAAGCATTGACTGGGAAGGAAGACAAATGCCTCTAGTAGTGTTCTCAGAATTCTCAGGATTTTAAATGTCAGAATGAGTCATACAATGGTCATGTTCCATAAATGAAAAAGCAATCCCACTGGGCACTATTCACATGGTGCATGATTACTTCAAGGGGGTGGAAGGGAACAGTCTACTGCCATTTGATAGTATGATTTCAGATGAAAACAAAACCACTGGATAAGTCAGGGTAACCAGTGTGTAACACTCCTCCCTTGTCCATCAGCATCCCACAGGTTGTTCTGCACTGCTTGAGAGAAAGGAGGTAAAACACCTATCCCTTCTGATACAGGCACAGCCACTACCACCTAAACTGCCAATTCAGAAATAACCACACAAGCCCTCCAGTTTCGTACCCTGAATATGGTAAATAAGACTAGGAATGGAGTAGTTCAGTCTAAAAAAAGATCACAGGTAACAGAATGCTTATATAAACTAGACTGCTTTTGACACCTGTAAGAAAATTATATAGATGGTAATTGGAAAAAAAAAAAAAAAAAAAAGATTGTTCCCATCTGTCAGCAAAACTGTTGAGCTATACTCAGCTGAAGTCCTCATCGGGATTCTGTTGATCCAGCAGACGGACATGTGTGAATGGGAAGTGACCTCGTTTGCCATTACATTCCCCTTCCCACTGACCACTCACATTAATCTTCGTAACCTTTACCAGCTCACCGACCTGCAGGGGAGAATAAGGAGAGCACTTTATTTCCAGTTAAGAATGCAAGCTGAAAAACTCCATTCTCTCTGGTTAGGCAAACCCTGCCCACGTGATTGCTCTAGGGCTGATGTTACAGAAAAGGCTGTTCACTACCTCCCCAACCCCAGCCACCAGAATGATTATTTGTGGTTAATGCAGACAGAAGGAAGAAGTGATTTTAGCAGTTTAGAAAGAGAACATAGCAAAGTAGAAAAGATCCTAGAAAATTATACTTTTGGGAAATCTCAGTGTCTCTGAATAAGCAATGTCAGCTTAAGGGAATATTCTTTTTCTTTATACCCACTACTCTCAGCTTCCTCCCTGCCCCAGGCCCTGGCCTAGGAAAGAATCCCTGATTCTCCATGGCACATAGTAGCACAATCTCCTAGCATCCTCACTCACACACATCCTGGCCTAGTATTGCTTGCATAGCATAAGGCAATCATGGCAAGTTCACTTCATTTGACCCCAGAAAATGAAGTATTCCATGACCTTCCCACCAAGGCAAGCCACTAGGGCAGGCACAGGCACAAATTCCAAGTCCTGTCAGCTCCCTGCTCATCCCCACCTTCTTCCTCATCTACTAACAGATTTTTTTTTTTGACCCCTCAATGCCACTTGGCACTGTTCATTACCCAGTGAGGGGACCAAAAAACAAAAACAAAGTCTCTTTTTTCTTCTTCTTCTTCTTCTTTTTTTTTTTTAATAGTGCTGGGGATCAAACAAAGCCTCTTACATGCTAGGCAAGTGATAAAACACTGAGCTAAACCCCCAGCCCCAATTTAAAAAGTCTCTTAAACATTAAAGATAAAATTTTAATAATATGACATATACCTTTAGCCTACCATGAAACTTAAGTAAGTCTGATGAATAGATTCATCCTATAATAAAATATTGAATAATGGTGAGATAAAACTCTTGAACTACAGACCATGACCATCCCTTAATTATTAACACTTAAGTTCTCAGCACACAAGTGGTTTCTAATTATTACTGTTCATTTGGTTTTATGAAATTAAGAACTATTACTGATTTAATTATATAGACAGTGGAGGGTTTTTATGGGGGGGGGGGGCAGGGGAGAGTATTTGATAGTATTAGGGATTAAACCCAGGGCTTTGCACATGCTAGAAAAGCACTGTACCACTGAGCTACATTCCAGCCCTTTTTATGTTCTGCTAAGTTGCTGAGGCTGGCTTTAAACTTTCAATCCTCCTGCTTCAACCTCCCGAGCCACTGGGATTATAGGCGAGTGCCACAAGCTTGGCTAACATAATCACCAAGCCCTATAGGCTGCTAGTACCAGGATTCTGTCATCCTAACAATTTTCCAGCTTAACCTCCTGACACCCAAGTAAGGTAATTAACTATGACAATCAAAGATTTTCACACTGTCTTTGGAGACCATGACAAAGTGAAGTTTTGTTAGTGAAACTAATCTAAAATATGTGTTCCTTTAACCTTAATTCTAATTCTCAATTTATCTCACTTGTTCCCTTCTTTTTAAAAATCTGGCAGGGCTAGAGATATGGTTCAGTGATACAGCAATGGCTTTGCATGCAGAAGGCCCTAGGTTCGTTCCTTTCAATGTTATAAGATGTGAGGCTTTGCACTATCTCCTAATATCAAACTATTTTAGTGACTTTGTCTTGTTTATGACCTGTCAGCTACCCTTGACTTTCTACCCTTCACACACATGCACATATTATACATTATACACATTACTCAAGTTAAAGCCTGGATATTTCCAGTTACTTGGTGGTAAGGTCCATTACATCAAATGAGTACTTCTTTCCCCAATTTTTAGTATTTATAACACTCAAATATAAAGTGCTATTCTGGTAGCTGTACTAAGACTAACATAAGTCACTGATCTTAAGAAGGGGACTTACAGTCGGCTGCAGTGGCACACATTTATGATCTCAGCAACACAGGGCTGAGTCACGAGTTCAAGGCCAGCATGGGCAACTTAGTGAGATTCTGTCTCAAAACAAAAATTTAAAAAGGACTAGGGATGTTTATCAATATTTTATACAGCTTTTCTAGGTATTGAGAAGACAGTTCTTTAAGGATATAGCTTCAACCATTCTACTCCATAACAAAATTCAGATGCAAAACTCCTCTCTTCTCTCAATGTTACATTGTCTTTATCCTTAAACATTCAAGTGACAGTTCACAGAGCTCTAAGAAAGAAAGGATGCATTGAAGTGCAGGCTAGGCTGGTCTACACATTTTTTTTTTTTAATAGTTGATGAAGTTCTTGGCAAAAAGATACAAACATTAGAAGTGAAAGAAAAGCTATGCCATGATGGAAATTATTCTGATTTTAAATGGATAAAAAATTAAAGTGGGTCTGGGGATGGGGCTCAAGTGGTAGCACACTCACCTAGCATGCGTGAGGCACTGGGTTCGATTCTCAGCACCACATTAAAAATAAATAAAGATATTGTGTCCATCTAGAACTAAAAAATAAATATTAAAAAAAAAAAAAAGTAAAGTGGTAGCTGGTCAACGAGGCTAATTAACCTGCCCAAGTGGTACTGGATACCAATACTTCAAAGGAAGACCTTGTTAAGAAACAGTAGCTGTCAACCCTGGGAGAATATGAATAGGTTGTTCTAAGAATGTTTTTCCACCCAGAGTGGAACAACACCTATAATCACAGTGACTTTGGAGGCTAAAGCAAGAGGATTGCAAGTTCAAAGGCCAATCTCAGAAAATTAATGAGACCCAGTCTCAAAACAAAACAAAACAACAAAAAAGCAGGGTGTGGTGGCACATTCCTGTAATTCCATAGGCTTAGGAGGCTGAGGCAGGAGTACTTCAGAGTCCAAAGCCAGCCTCAGCAATTTAGGGAGGCACTTAGCAACTCAGAGAGACCCTTTTTCTAAGTAAAATATTAAAAAGGGCTGGGGATGTGGCTCAATAGTTGAGCGCACCTCTGTGTTCAATCCCCAGCACCAAATTAAACAAACAAATAAATAAATAAATAATAAAATTTAAAGGTTAAAAAAAAAGGGGGCCAGGTGCAGTGGCACACACCTGTAATCCAAGCAACTTGGGAGGCTGAGGCAGGAGAATCGCAAGTTCAAAGACATCCTCAGCAACTTAGCGAGGCCCTAAACAACTCAGTGAGACTCTCTCTAAATAAAATACAAAATAGGGCTAGGGATGTGGCTCAATGGTAGAGAGCCCCTGGTTTCAATCCCCAGTTCCCCCCACCACACCACCACAAAGTTGCTCCACTAAGTGAAGTTCTTTAATTCAGAAACAAAGCCAGAATTGTGCTCCTCTTTCTGTTATATATCAACTCACTAAAGCCTAATCCCAAAGACTTTACCAGAAAAGGTGAGGTCTGAAACTTGGCATACTGCTTCAAACACAATGAAAGCAAACTGAATATATGCCTCAGAAATGTTACAGTCTTACAATACAAAGGAATGAATGCTATAATAACAGTAGTTCTAACACTAGTAATTTCAAAATTCAAGTTATAAAAAGGAAAGAAAAATCCTAATATATATTACCAATGGACAAGAAACACAAAAGGGCTTCATGTATCAACAACACATTTAATCTTCCTTTTTATGAGGCAGACCTCAGTAGTGCCTTGTAAAGAAAAAAGGCTGATGATTCTTCTTATCACTGAGAAATTGGTGTTTCACTGTCCAGGCTGGTACTCAGCCTCCTGATCCTATAACACATCCTCAGGAGCAAGTGTGCATGTATTAGTGGAGTCATAAAGGGGAATAATTGGTTACTCTAATTTCTTCACTCCTTGAAAACTTACTGAACACTGGTTTATTCCCTACCTCTATGTAGTGTCCAAAGTTATTCAGGATTCTGGTGCAGATATAATCAAATCTAAAACTGGTTCAAGAGCAAAAAGACTATCCAGCTGATCTCCACTTATGAATACCAGTGATAATGAAAAAAACAGCGCAAATTTCTGGAACCCACTTATATAGGAGACATTAGCAAACTGTGTGACCTCCTTTGCAGCTGCTTTTCTGTTCCTACTATCTAACAGGAAAGATAACCAACAACTGTCAGCATTCCTTTGATCCAGACTTGCTGAATAACTCTACTGAGCTCAGAGAAGGAAGCAAACAGGGCTGGGGGTGTGACTTCATAGTAGAGCACTTGCCTAACAAATCAGAGCCCCTGTGTTTGAACCCCAGCACTACCAAACAGAAAAGAAAGAAAAAGGGGGAAAAAATGCATGTAAAGAAAACCATGGAAAAGCAAGTACAGAGAAGCAGTACAGGGAGCCTTGTCTTCAAACATTTTCAAATGCAAAAAAGAAAAAAAAGACATTCAATAAATATTCCAAGATTTGGCTACGGGAAAAGCAGTTAAGGAAACTACAGCAATCTAAGGCAAGGGTCAGCAACTATGGCCCATGAGCCAATTCAGTTTGTTCTTTTTTGCAAAGATATCAAGTATCTTTTTGATATTTTTGGAATATCACAAGCTCATCTGTCGTTTTGTCTGACTGCCTTCTACTACCATGGCAGACTGAGGATTGTGACAGAAACTATATGGTTCTAGGCATTTATAGAAAGTCTACAGACTCTTGACCTAAAGAATAGGTAAGCCAGATACAAGGGCACACACTTGAAATCCCAGCTACTGAGGAGGCTGAGACAGGACAAGTTCAAGGCCATCCTGGGCAATTTAGAGACCCTCTCCAAAATAAAATTTAAAAAGGGCTGGGGAGAGTAGGCAATACATAATACCCATCTAGAGTCTTTCAAATCAGTGAAAAACAAGAGACAATTCAGCTTTAATGATTCACTTAGAGGTGGACTGAAATGGGTGTGGTTTGTATTGGTAAGTAATTAGATTTAACTGCCTAAAACTCTTGGTGAGAGGTGAATTGACCACTAGTAGTATATACATTTTAGTTCAATATAAAGTATTTTCTAAAAATTAATACAATGAATTAGACCTGAAGTTCCCAAACTAAATAGTGTTAAA